TTTAAATTGTTTAATTTTTTCAGTACACCTGTGGTAGAGGCAAGGACAATGATATTCTTTGTCTTAGTTTACTTGTATCTCGTAGACATTGTATTTTTTTTCGAGACACTGAAAGTTTGTATGTCACAGACTTACGAGTATGTATGAGAAATAATTTTATATCAATACTGATACATTTATAAATTGAATAATATTAATTATATTCTTGATTTTTTCAGAGTTCAAATGGCATTTTTATTAATGGCGATGAAAAAAAGTGTCAGCATACAGTCAAACTATATGAGAACGATATCATTGGAATTGGTTGCCCTGAAATTGATTCAAGTAAAGAGACATTGTATGTTTATAAAGTTTGCATCATTAAGGTAGGATGTTCTCAGAGTAGTATATAATATTTTTTTGTAGAAATTTGATATTTGTTAAATCTTTATCATATCAATTTCTTTTTAGTCACCTGAACTTGATGAAGAAGAAGAAGAAACTACTGCTTTATCAAGGACAATTTTAAATAACGATACATCACAAGAAATCATATCTCATGTAAATCATGATTTTAGAAAAAGGCATGGATCTAATTTAAGTTGCGATATGATAATACCTAATAAAAAACCAAGTGTTACATATAATACTAATAAACATGATTCTAGTTCTTCAAAAAGTAAGTCCTTATTTTTTAAATGATATAAATAGGTAAAAAAGGAATAAATTTTAATATTCTGTAATAAATTTTTTAATTATTTAAATTTTTAGCAGGAATTGATTCTAATTTATCTCGCAATAATCAGACTCTTAACAGCAATACTAGTGATAATTTAAAAATCAGACATGATACTGATATAAATGCAGAAGATGATATTGAAGTAATTCATGCATCATTAGTAGAAGATGTAAGGAAGAAGAACACTACGACACATAATCTGACATCTGCAAAATGTTTAAGTGACAATAAATCGGATTTTGATGACAAAATAGATGTTTCTAGTGTTGAGAATAACAGTGAAGACGATGTTAATGATAGAGGTATAAGTAAAACTTATATTAAAAAATATATAAGAATAACATTAATAAAACAAATGCATTATATTTCACAGAAAATTCAAATATTGTACATAAAGTTGATCAAATTATTAGATGTGAAAGTGAACTACAAATAACAGACGATGAAGGAGCAAACATAGTTGAACACGATATAACTTGCAAATCAGCGATTAAATTGAAAAAAACAAAACATGAGCCAAAAACGCGATTTTCCGAGATCGATGTTGTCAATTTAAGTGACAATGAGGAGGGAGTATTTCCATATTCCCAGTTATTTGATATCAAATATGACGATAATACAGAGAATAAGAGAGAGATAAAACAGGAATGCATCAACGATGATGAATCAAACACCGAGAAAATTGGTCTGCTAAATATCGACGACGAGGTCATTATTTTAACAGACAGCGAAGATGAAGATAATCCATGGTTGGAACGATTATCCAGAAGTCAATTACTCAATGAAGATATAAAACCTGTTTTGTGTGATTCGATCGTAAAAGATGAAATCGATTTGGGTATTTGGGATGATGAAATTTTGAATATCGAATTGTCTGAGGTAATCAAACAATCCGAGATACCATGTACTTCCGAGGTTCCTTGTAAAGAAATGTCTTGTGAACCACGTACAAGCGTTGATGTTGGAATTAAAAACAAAGAAGATGATTATAATACTAATTTATTGACTCCAAGAGTGGATGCGATGGATATAGACGAAGCAGGCATTTCTAATCATTCTGGTACGAGAGATATTAATAAACAAATTAATGATATCAATATTAATGTCAAAAAGAAACAGAAAACACATGCGAAACAAAATCTAGAATTAAATAAACAAATAATAGAAGGTGTGAAAGAAAAATTAATTGCACCGACAACAGAAGTTTGTACGATAGATGTAGACGAGACAGGCATTTCTAACAAACACAATACGAGAGATATTGATGCAAACAAACGGATTATTGATGTAAATATTAACATCAAAAAGAAACAGAAAACTCGTGCAAAACAAGATGTAAAACTAAATAAACAAACAATAGAAGGTGTAAAAGAAAAATTAATTGCACCGACAACAGAAGTAGATTTGATGGATGTAGATGAGGCAGGCACTTCTAACAATTATAGTATGAGAGATATTGATGGAAACAAACGGATTATTGATGCAAATATTAATGTCAAAAAGAAACAGAAAACGCATGCGAAACAAAAATTAATTGCATCACTCACAGAAATAGATATGATGGATGTAGACGAGACAGGTGCTTCTAATGATTCTAATACGAGATGTATTGATGTAAACAAACAGATTAATGATATTAAGATTAATATAAAAAATAAAACAGATGCGAAACGAAGTGTAGAGTTAATAAAACAAACAATAGAGAGTGCAAAACAAAACTTAATTGCACCAATCATAAAAGTAGATGTGATGAATACAGATAAGACGAGTACTTCTAACGATCGTAATACTAGAGATATTAATAGAAGCAAACATATTACTGATGTCAAAATTGATGACAAAAAGAGAACAGATACGAAACAAAGTATAGAATTAGTTAAACAAACAGAAAGTGTAAAACAAAAATTAATTACACCGACCACAGAAGTAAATGAGATGGACGTAGATGAATCAAGCTCTTCTGACGATTTTGATCTTTTTCCTATCGATAGTATTGATAGAAGCAAACAGATTACTGATATCAATATTGACAAAAACAAACAGAAAACAAATGTGAAACAAGATACACAGTTAGATAAGCATACATTAGAAAGTATAAAACAAAAATTAATTGTAAAGTCCCCAAAAAGACTGATTCCAATAGAACCATTAAGTTTACCTACAAGAAGAAGACAATCTGATCATAGTAAAGACAAAGCAACAAAAGTACATGAAACTTCACAATCAAGAGTAACAACAAAAGAAAAGAGCGTGTTGAAATTAAAAGCAAAACTTAAAGATAATCTTAGTAAAGAACAAAAAGAGAATACGGACCGCAAAGATAAATCTAAATCGATAACTGACAATTCCTTGTCAAGTGAAGCAAAATCTGGGCTATCAATTTCTAAGGACGAAAAAAAGAAAATAATCGAACAGAGAAAGATGAAATTGAAGGAGATTGCAGCGGAAGAGAAGAAGCTGACGGCCGAAAACGATCAAAATACTAAACGTAGGAATAAACCGAGAGCTAAAGTATCTTTTAAAACTCGTGGCGATTTTCTCATTACTGAACAAGAACCACGAGTATCTAAATCGCTTCCAGATAAACCCGCAGAATTATCAACATCAAGTGATCAATCTAAGAAGCCATCAAGAGATACAACTAATGTATTAAAAGAATCCACAATTTCCGACAAGAAGGCAGAGATTTGTCAAGAAACGGACGTTTCTAAGGATACAGTAAATAACGTTGCCGCATCATTGCAACAGTCCTTATATTTAAATAATATAAACACTGCGTCTGAGAAAAGTACACTAGATTTCAAAGCGACCGATGATAATAAAAAGAAACACAGCAGTAGCAAGGATATTACAAAAAAGAGCAATATTAATACTGATCCTACTTTTCAAATGTCAGAATTGCGGGATAGATCGACCGAACGTAGTTCTGTGATACAAAAAGAAAATTTTTCACCAAACAGTTTGAAATCGAAGCTTTTAAAGTCGAGCATAAAACCGAAGAAAATTAAAAGAGTGACTTTTTCTGACAGACCCGAAATACGGGAATATGATATTGATCAAGGCAATTCTTTAAGGAAATTGGTAGGGAAAGATGCACCTATTCCTACGAATAAATTAAAAAAATCTGTAACCTGTACAGATTGGCGCCCGAAATTGGAAGAGTTCTTACTTCGCATTTTTAAGTGGAATCCTGTGTGGCTCGAAGAACAGCGCTATCTAAGATGCGATCCACCAATAATATCGGAGAATGAACTTCAGGCTATGAAACTATCCTACGATTCTTATGAACAGTACTATGCAGTTGCGATGCCTCTTCTATTACTCGAAATATGGTGCATCATGACCAAAGATTTCGAAATGATTCAGAAGAATATGCAACGTACTACCGTAATGTGTTCCATAGTTGAGAATTCTATTACGCGCACCCCTATACCATCGACTGATTTATTCTTGACAAAATTGACTCTTGAAGTACTAGTCAATAGAGAAGATTTTAATAAACAAAATCATCCTATTTACGGAGATCTGGTATATCTTGAGTATGTCAAGAATCAACATGGTAAACAAATCTTTCACAAGATATTCGCATATGTCATCAACATGCAACAACACATGGTTATCCCAGGCTCCACATATTATAATAGCGATTTACAGAATTATGTAAAAGATCCATATACAATTATAAAATACAGCGTGTGGACACAACCTCTTGAACACATTATCGTAAATAGAGTGCAAAGACTCCGAACAGTCACGTATTTGCGATCGAATATCAGAATGGTGCAGGCATTACAATATCTCCCTCATTCATCCTTGTCAAAGTTGATTGTGAATCCAAAAATTGAAGACTATCAATTACCACCACTAAATGAACACTTTACATCTTCTTCACTAGTAACAAAAGAAGATTTAAATTCAAAGCAATTAGAGGCTGTATTTCGGGTGACGAATGCTGTAATAAAGAAAGAAGCCAAATTATGCTTTATTCAAGGGCCACCGGGAACGGGCAAGTCTAAAGTTATTGTAAATCTAGTGACTCAAATATTATATGGTGGATGTCAAGATAAGAAATCTTTGAGAATCCTGATTTGTGCACCGTCTAACGCCGCTATTGATGAAATTGTGATAAGACTTCTACATATCAGATCTATCCTAAAACAAAAACGTTTTAATATGGTACGCATTGGTCGATCAGAGTCTATGCATCCAAAGACTAAAGACATTTCTGTACCACAGATAGCGAAACGCTACCTAATAAATGTAAGTAAAGGTATAAAAACAACAGATAACAACATTGAAGATTTATCAATTTTACAAGCGTATATTAATTCGTTTAACGCCAAACTTGGAAGTATCCAAGACGTACAAGAAGAAAAGAGGTATTCACTTAATAGAAAACTATTTGAAACAACGGTGAAATATGAACTTATGAAATCTAATAAATCGATAGACGAGGTCAATTCAAAGGAGCGCGCCAGGTACCAGCGTATGTCAGAAGACATAATTCTTCAGGGTGCCAATATAATTGCCTGTACACTTTCTTCTTGTTACACTAATCAAATGGAATCGCTCTTTGGCGGTCACAAGGAAAGGATATCTGTATGCATTGTTGATGAGGCGACGCAGAGCTGCGAAGCAGAGACTTTGATACCGTTAATGTTGGGGGTGACTACATTGGTTCTAGTAGGTGATCCAAATCAACTACCAGCAACCATTCTAAGCCAACGAGCGAAGAAATTGGGATTAGACCAATCAGTATTTTCTAGGATACAAAACGTTTTCGCGTCTCAATCGAACAATCCAATTATAATGTTGGACATGCAGTATCGTATGGAGTACGCGATCTCATATTGGCCTAATAGATACTTCTATGGTGGTAAATTGAAAAACGCTACCGATTATAGAATGAAATTTCCATTTCATGCATACAGAGTTTTGGATCATAACTTCACTCAGAACTATGATAAATTTTCCAACACTACTGAAGCAGAATTTGTGGCCAATATAATTTATACAATGTTGAAGTGCGCCAAATGGGAATCAACAAGTGCTACTATTACTCTCGGAGTTCTCACACCGTATAACAATCAAAGAACTCTTATACTGAATAAAATAAATGAAAAGTATGTGTGTACAAAAACAATAATTTCCATAAGTTATAAAGAAATCATAAATTTATAATTTATATGTTTTTTTTTTATAGGATATCGTCTGTATCGGATGACATAAAAAAGAAAATTAGCTTTGAAGTTAATACGGTCGACGGTTTTCAAGGTCAAGAGCGAGATGTTATAATAATGTCCTGTGTGAGAAGCAGCGGTATTGGATTTTTATCAGACAAACAAAGACTCTGTGTAGCACTTACAAGAGCTAAACGTAGTTTAATACTATGTGGAAATTTTCGTACTTTTATGGTAAGCGAAGAATAATCCTGAAATTTTTAATTCTGGAAATAGTGAGTGGTTGCGCTACTGGATATATTCACTAGTTGCATTCAATAGAATGGTCATTTTTTGCAACTGTTGGAAGTTTTCTTTACTGAGATAGGACTATTCCTCTATATATTTGAAAGTATAATCTGATTAAAATGTGAAGAAAATTATTGTGGAAATTTGTGCTACTCTTTATATTTTAATTAACCAGCAAATTTTTGCTTTGCAGAAAGATAAAATGTGGAATACATTGTTAACTGATGCACGAAATCGTAGAATTCTATGTCGTATGGATACTAATGCGACCAGTATGATTAAAAAATGCATCATTAAGTAAAGTATTTATTTGTAAAGTTTTACTTAATATCGTAACTTCTTTATATGGTTTGTATATTTTGTAAATATTTAGGCTAAGTTTGAATATTTAAAGCGCTTATAATGAAAAATATATCAACTGAGTCTTGAAGAATGTTTGTTAAAATAATATTTCAGAATTAGTTCTAAATAATGAGACATATGAATGCTGATTCTACCATCAAAGTATTAATTGTTTGCATTGGACACATCTCATTCACTGAAATATAATATTATTGGAACGAGCGCGGCCCTATGCTGTCTTTGTTAAGAATAATCTGAGAGAGAGCGTGCTAATTGGTATCTTTATTCTTTTCTAATCTGTACTCAGCTATAATTGCGCATGTGCAGTAGACGGTATTGCACATGCGCAATCATAGCTAAGTATAGATTAGAAAAGAATAAAGATATCACTTAAAACGCTCCTTAGCATTATTCGTTTTGTCTCTTGGGAGCAGTTGCTCGGGATCGCTCCGAATGAACTCAGCGTACTTGAAACATAGGATTCACACTGTACGACATCCGTCGTCGTAACAATGAATGTCAGATGTCATATGGCGGATGTACGTAGTGCGAATCTTATATTTCAAGTACGGTAGGTTTATTCGGAATGACGCCAAGCAGTTCCCAAGAGACAAAACGAATAATATTTAACGCCAGTGTTCGTTCTAGAGTATTATATTTCAGTGATCTTATTACAGTTTAAAGCCAATATTACATGCGTCCGTTTTTTGTCGTACGACAAATTTTTCAAGCGTGTTAATTGGCTGCAAAACAAAGTCTCGGATCTCTTTGTCTTATAGCCAATCAACAGGCTTGAAAAATTTGTCGTACGACAAAAAACGCACAAATGAAATAGCCTAACAAAGACGGTATAAAGGCGATTCTACATTGGTCGTATCGTAGCGTTTGAAGCGTCATGCAACTTTCAAATTGAAGCATCGGATTGGCTGAAACAATAAGCTGCGACGTCTACGATACGACCAATGTGGTCTTAAGGTCGATATTTCATATGTCGTACGACAAAGTTTTTCAAGCCTGTTGATTGGCTATAGGACAGAGATCCGAGAATCTCTCTATCCTACAGCCAATCAACAGGCTTGAAAAGCCTTGTCGTACAATACAATGTCGTGAAATATCGGGCTAAAGGGGTGTATGTACATACAAAGGATTAGCTGCGGGCCTGATATTCACGATTTTGATTAGCCGCTATCAGTCAATCAACAAGTAAAACCTATTGCGCTTCTCTTATAATATAGGACTCTAGAGCTGCGTTCAGGAATTACGCCTAAATAACTCTTAAGAACATTTTTGATATACGTAACGTCATCTATAACTTAGAATTATTTAGACGTAATTTCTGAACGCACGCCAGCGCTCAGTGACCGATTATGTTTTTGGATGTACTCGGGCCTAGTTTTTACCGAGGGTTTAATTCGGATCAGAATGTAAAAACCAACCCACTACAGTCAAGCATTCCTCTGTCGTTCGACTATAATAGGGGAATACTCGATTGTAGTTGGTTCTTATATTCTGATCCTGATTAAACTCTCGGTGGAAACTAGACCATTTATGTATCCTTCCAAATTTAAAATGCTGATTGGATGATCCAAAAGAATACACCAATAGCAGCGAGCGCTTACTCAACTGTTGAGTCCACTGAACGCAGCCATTGGTCGTGTTCAGCAGACTCAACTGTTGCAAAATGGATTCGCTTTGAAGGCCGAAATCCGATTGGAAAAATCTGATTGGTTGAAGAGGAAGGAAGGAAGGAAGGAAGGATCCGCTCGCTGCTATTGGTCGCGTTCATCTAACCAATAGCAGCGAGAGCTCACGGATTTGTAGACGGTTGATTGTTATCTTTTAATGAAGTGAAAATTACAAAAGTGAGCAAATTCACTAGAGTATTCATAATTGAATTGGTCAATTCTTAATAATCTTTGCTCACTTTTGTAATTTTCACCTCCTTTCAAAATCCACAATCAACCTCCAGCAGACCTATTCTGTAACTTTTAACGCAAATTTCATTATCATTATAACACCGCTGCGCAGCTTTTTTTATAATGAAAGAGTTACGCAGCAGCGTTATAATGATAACGAAATTTGAGTGCTGAACGCGTTTACAGGTCTGTTTTCTGTGGCTAGTGTATACTTTTGGAATTTAAAGTGAGATAGATACGTTTGATATTTGTTCAAAGCGAGAAAGAGAGTTCTAGTGCAGGAACAGAAAACCATACGTTTGCGTTTCGGATTATTCAATTTGCTTCAGTAATTTTATAATCATGGTTATATTTTGGAGTATAACAGTAGATATGAATACAAGAGTAATTACATGACGTTTCGATTGCTGTACGCGTTTCATCGGACACCAATCGGAAAATGCCTCATTGCCGTAACTGATACTGACGAACTTGAGATTTAATGACAATGAATACGATGATGAGGCGGCTGCTCTCAAAGATCTAAAAGTGAGCCTTTAATCTAAATATTGAAGGATACTAATAACAAAATAGATGCTGTTATCGCGAAAATCTTTCATCCCAATTATTCACAACTTGATTCCATTCATGTTTTCATGAAAGGCACAGGAATTCCAAATTAAAATTTGGAAATCTTTGACTGGAGTCCCTAGAGGAACAATCACCACGTACGAGGAAGTCGCATGGATGGTGGGTTGCGATTCTAAAATCGCAATAGTGGGAAATGCATGTTCTAGAAATTATATTACCTATATTGTGCCATGCCACTGTGTGATGCCATAAACATGTGTGATAGCAAAAAAACACATATTTGTGGTATCAAGAATGCTTGGAAAACTGAGCGAAAAGGAGCTATCTTGGAATGTGAAAAGCAGCTCTATGCATAAATATTGTAAATTAATATCATACAAATACAGAACATAACATTTAACATTTAATTATTATAATAAAATATTACGAATTTGATATTTGCCAGTACAGTGAATTTTGAATACAGCCTATATCAAATTTATAATGCTGAACTTCTGTCTACAGGTCTGTAGCTGCTTTTCTAATTTATAATTATGTTACATTTATTTTCATTTACTTTTCTTGCATTTAAGCATTTCTAGAATGTGTGAATATATGTAAATTATGCAAAATAAATGAATTTATAGGTGATAAATGTTTATTTTTCTCACGTACATTAGATGTTGTAAAATTACAAAATTCTTTTTGTTAGTATAATAAAATACAGTGATCATAAAGATATTTCACTTATGGATGAGATATCTTCAAATATTTCTTAAAAATGTCAGTTATTGTCACTTATATTTATATATTTACATCATGTTTTTTCATGGGCAGTCAGCTATATAACATTGTTAAATTGATTAAATCAGTAAATCAAGGTATTTTTGTATAAATAACAGAAATTAAGTTCATCATTATATACTGTACATATGTATTTCATGGAAATTGATATTTTTTGATTACTAATAATTTTTTAAATTACACACTGTTCGAATACATTTATTTATGCCTTGCTCCTAAATTTCCTGCAATTTTCTTTAATCTTATCTTAAATATCCCGATTTTGTAACACACTCCTTGTATATCCTAATATATTATTGCTTACTTAATTTTTTTATACAACTGTACACCTTCAATTAAAATTATAAAGTAAACTTCTTCACTATATATATATATATATAGATGTGTGTATATATATATATACTATATATACTGACAAACACATTCTAAAAAAATGTAAAATCAAATTTTAGCGACACTAAATAAAAGATAAAATGTTAAAGTTACTAATTATATTTTCTGTACAAATTGTAATTAAGCGTAGTAAATATATATTTTAGTTTACTTCACTATCAATATTTATACACTAATAAATAATCGAAGAGTTTACACGTTTATGTACATCTATTTCCATTTTTCGTATTAGCCTACATGTGTAAGCTAAAACCATGGTATTAAATTTAATCTTTATTTAAATTGTGTTTAATTGTGCTGTACGATTAAAAAGTTTTTTTTATAAATTTTTCTTTTGTATAAATTGCTTTTTGCACTCTTTTACGTTTTTATTAATCTTTTTATATTGATATCTCTTCACAGTTTTCTTTTCTTTTATCGTTACACATATAACTGTGCAAAAATATATTTTATTCTGTAAGAAGGAACAACTTTCACTCGTGTTACTGACATTTCTCATCAGATAGAATTTATAATTTTGCATTTTCTTTTTCTAAATTATTGATATGTATCGTTCGCGAAAATTACTTTCCTTTGTATTGAATACAAATGTATATTTGCTAGAATCATTTATCTCTAATGGAGCGGAAAGGAAATTAAACCGTACATATTAAAATAGTAGCTTTGTGTCAGTCTTATGCAATTGCATAATTTATCTATCTTTCTATAAGTCTGTTATTTTTAGCTAAAATTCTTGCAGGCTTCATCTTTTTTCCTTTTCTCTCCACGTTGAAGAGAAAAAGAGAAATAATGAACCGAGCAAGAAGTTCAGCTAAAAAGAATAGGCCTTATGTCAAGCTATTTATTTTTCATTATGGCGCGTTTTCTGCTCTATGGATATTTAAGATATATTTTACTTGTATTATTATAGAGAGATATCACTGTTTTAATTACTCTAAATCAGAGCTATCCAGGGTATTTTGGTTCGAAATTGGAATGTGTCAATATTCATGCCTATTACCATTCCTATTCTTCATTTTATTGCTATTTTGTTTATTCATTTTCAGAGACACTAGTCTGAAATTGTTAAAAGTTTTTGACCTGCGTCGCTATGTTTAAAAGTATATTATTATTATTATAAGATATTATTATTATAAGAGGTATTAATATTCATAATATATTTAATTATAAAAATACATGAATTTTATATAAATATATATATATGTATGTATATATACACATATACATATATACCTGTACATGTATATATGTGTATATATATATATATGTATATATAACCAATTCATGTATTTTTATAGCTAAATATATTATGAATAATAGTATCTCTTTATATATTAATAATATTAGCAATAGAATACTTTTAAATATCTACACATTTCAATTTCAATCTAAAACTATCCATTCTGAACAACTCTGCTGTAAATAATACAAGGGACGTCTGAAGTCTTGTTTGATTTCAAACAAGTTTGATGTCACACGATAACTACAAAAGTTTATCTTTGTAATATTCAAAATAAGCTGAACTGTGTGTGTGTGATTATCACAAAATTATTAAAAAATTACCGTTAATCCCTTCTATGTATTTCTATGTCGCATTTCTATATTTTTGTTATGTTTGTTTCGTAAAAAATTATTTGCACATAGATAGTGGCTCTTTGGATTTTCATGAACAGTCACGGCGAAATATCTGTATCTTACAAGGCAGTGTTCAGACATGATTATTAAGACCTAAATTGTGACCTATCTCGCTCTATTATGAGAAATCAATTAAATAAATAGAAATAATTCGCAATAGGGATCAATTGTAATTTCGTCATCGGCGAAAAATTCATGGTATATTATTGTAGACATCACAGCTTTATATATTTTTTACGTACCGTCACGTCTTATATATAAAATATCGATAAAAATATATGTAGCCATTATATTTTCTTTCTTTTATAAAAATCCCTGTGCGTTTGCCAACTTGCTTAATGGAGCAGATCAAAGTTTTTTATTTTGTAAAAAAATAAAATCTCTTGCAAAATGCAGCGTGGGCGGAGTGATGCGCGAGATGAAAAAAATATGATATACAAATTTGCTATATCTCTCCGATGTCTACAATATATGTCGTTTTACGTCGGTCTTTGCAATAAATAGCTGGCTCTTACATCTCGATTGTCAGTTAGATAAGAATAGTTAAAATGCAGAAGTGTACACTGAGGTCATTCATTAACTATTAAATGTGTAAAAATGATGTCATTATTCGAGCGTATACGAGGATGCTACCTTCAAAATCGCAATAATCACAGCAACGAAAAGCATAAAAGTTGTGGACATTGTCGACCTACAGAGAGTTGACGAAGAAACTGCATTTTCTGATTCTCTAGTAGTTCCTGTAATCGAAAAAAGAAAGTAAATAAATTATAAATTCAAATAGAAAAAGTAATCTTAAGCAAAAAAATATTCTAATTCCTAATTTAACAACCATAAAAAGAGCAAATAAGATGTTTAAATAAATAAATTATTTATCGATTTAATAAAATAGCATATGCTACATAAATGCATAAAAACGTTCCGTTTATGGAGTCTTTATCATAATTAAATATTCTCGAATAGATAACCGATAGTTATTTATCTAAAGGCAACTTTATATTCTTGAGCAGCAAAAATTAAAATATTGGCTAATAGATAATAAAATTTATTTAACCTTATTGAGTTAACTCACCTGATATCCTCGGCCGTGGAGTTGTTGTAATCCTCATTACTGGATTATGAGGAATCGGTTTCATTGGAGTTGGCGCAGGACTTGGCGAATTCCCATAACATTGTCCTTCAATAACATTATCGTAATATAGAAATTGTGTTACTTATAATTATTACAATATTTAAAAAAATATATAACTTTGATTCGTCTATGAATACACGAATTTATATAGATGCTCCAGATAAAGATCAGTTACTAATTGATCATAAAACAAAAGATTTTATATGAATGCATGAATAAGTCATGAATAGGTGCATCTTATAAAGCGCTTACCCTTTTTGTAAAGACGCATCCCCTGTTGTTTGGGATCTATATTTCGTATACAATGACCACCGGCTTCCTTAATATATATTTCTTCATCGTTGACAATCAAACCTACGAAACACTCATTTGTAGCAGTGTCGTTTCTCATAGTATATGTATACATCACGCCGTCTTCCTCCCATTGTCCTAAGCACAGGTATGTTCGTTCTGAAAATAGTGAGTAAAAGCGTTTGTAGAAAAAAGAAACATATTATTAAAACATATATAAACCATTATAAAAAAATAATGATTAATATATATATATATATATAATGTAAATTTTCAAATTAAATTGCTTAAAATAATATTTATTCATTAAAATTTAGACAAGAAAATATCACCCAGAAATAGTAAAATTTGACGACATCATAATCACTTTGAAAGAAAATGTAAGTTTCATTTAGTAAAATAATGGAACGGTGAAATTTATTAATTTCTAATATTTTTTCATTTTTTTCTTTTACATTTTTTAATAATTTTGTACACACCTTCGTACAATTCTCCGGACTCGCAGTCATTTACTTTAAAATACATTATTTCGCGAGTGTTACAATTGCTGCTTAATTCGGCACACATTCCCGACAGATCTGTTATCCTTCCTACATATTGGCCCGTAATTGGACAGGGCGACTCCACTACACGTTCGATACCTTAAAAATGATGAATATATAAAATAATAATGCGCGTTTTTAAAGTTACTTATGAAAGTGCACAGATGATTTATAAAGGTATGGCTAAACTAGTATATTTTAACTTACGTGATTGAGTCATCCACAACCGTTTGTCCATATAGGGATCGTCGCATAAATCACTTTGATAACTTACTGGATTGTTGATCGTCCCTATACATGATATTATTTCTATTATTGCGTGACTATACTTGAGATTTATACGAAAATTGAATATAAAGATAGAGATTAATGAAAAATAGAAAAAGAAAAAATTTTTATATATTTATTTAGATTCATATTTGAAATCATTATTATTTTGATTAATATTTTGTTATTTATTTGTATAGATTTTATACTACTTCGATTTCATTGAACAAGTTGCAATTTTTGATAAAGCGTTAGTAATAATAATAAAGTCGTTATATAATGAAGGATAGCATGGAATAATTAATATAGAAAATAATTTTCTTTTTACCTAACGCAAATTC